ATATAATAATAATAATAATAATTAATGATGACAAATTATTTATTTGACATTTCTAACTATCTAGGACATATATTAATATAAATTCAGGTCTTGCACCTTTTCTCATTTTTAGGGTACAGGATTTGTCAGAACAGCAAAGGCTGTTTGGTGTTCTGACCACCAAACACCAATTGAACACCAATTTCCCAGGCCTGCAAAAACACTGCAACTTTTTATTTTCTTCCTTTTATCATTTAGTATCTCAGGAAGAATGAGATACTAAATGATAAAAGGAAGAAAATAACACTATTGCTGCCTTGTTTAAAAACTATTACTTTGCTGTTTTCAAAGTACCCAACTATTGTGCTTTCTGGAGGATGCATAGTCCTGAAGAGGAACTGTTCTAAATATGCACAGTGCTGCTACAGTATATCATCACACATCTCTCTTAATAATTTTTAGACTTATATAATTAATATCTCTGCGTTCTCCCCGAACTTTTGTCATAACTGATCATCTTTTTTTTTCTTTGTCTCTTGAATGATTTTGATAAATGGTGTGAAAAATTCAAGATGAAAAAATGGATCTCTATCATAAATACCTTGAAGCATGTAGTCTTCTGAACAGGCAAGCTAAAACATTACAACAAACTAATAAATTTTCACCACTAATTTCATTAATAAAATAAGGAAAAAAAGGTCATTTTAACACATTTAATTCCTCAAAATAATCCTTAAACATAAGAAGGCTATACACTAATTAAACTCAATGACCTTTCATATTTACAGCTATTGTGAAGTGTACTTAGCATATGAGTTTGGTGAGGAAATTGCCCATATATTATTAGCTTATTAAATTTTCCCATTTAATTCAGTAATGTTCTCTGACTTCTTAGACAATTTCTGTGTACTCCTCCCAGTCTCCCTGTCCCTGCTTCCACCCACTGTAGGCCTTTATTTTTTGCACCTCACTTTGACCAGGAGCTGCTTGTTCATCCACACAGGCCTGCGGCCGCTTTTACCCAACTTTCTCTTCAGTAGGATGCATTGCTCCTGAGCTTGGAGGAGAAGGTCCTTGAACACCTGCCAACTTTCTTGGGCCCCTCTTCCCTCAAGGGCTTCTTCCCAAGGAACCTTTCCAGTCAGTTCCCTGAAGAGGCCAAAGTCTGCTCTCCTGAAGTCCTGGGTAGCGAGATTGCTGTGCACCCTCCTCGCCTCCGTAAGGATTCCAAACTCCACCATTTCATGGTCACTGCAGCCAAGGCTGCCCTTGAGGTTCACATCCCACACCAGCCCCTCCCTGTTGGTGAGAACAAGGTCCAGCATGGCTCCCCTCCTCGTCGGCTCCTCTATCACTTGGAGAGGGAAGTTGTGATTGACACATTCCAGGAATCTCCTGGCTTGCTTGTGCCTTGCTGTGTTGTCCTTTCAACAGTTATCAGGGTGGTTGAAGTCCCCTATGAGGACCAGGGTTTGTGTACGTGAGACTACTGCTGTTACCTGCTTGTAGAGGGCCTCATCCACTCGCTCATCCTGCCCAGGTAGCCTGTAGCAAACCCCTACTACTGTATCCCTTCTTCCTGCCCTCCCTTTAATCCTGACCCATAAGCTCTTGATCATCCCCAGGCAGAGTTCCACGCACTCCACACGGTCTCTGATATAGACACCAACACCCTCTCCACATCTCTTCTGCCTGTCCTTCCTGAAGAGCCTGTATCCTTCCATTCTGACACTGCAGTCATAGGAGCCGTCCCACCATGTCTCCACAATGCCAATGAGGTCATAGCCCCTGATGCGTGCACAGGCCTCCAGCTCCTCTTGTTTATTTCCCATGCTCCGTGCGTTCCCATAGATGGCCCCCTGATGAATTCGGCTTACTGACTGGAGCATCTAGAGATCCCTTGTTTTGCTTGCCAGATGCTTTCCTAGTCACTTGTGATCCTTCTCCAGGCTCTGGGCATCTCTTGGTGTCACTGATGGTTTTGTCCCCTTCCCCTTCAAATCTAGTTTAAAGCCCTCTTGATGAGCCCACCAATTCATGGGTAAGAATCCTTTTTCCCCTTTGAGACAGCTGCACACCATCTGTCGCCAGGAGGCCTGGTGCCATGCAAACCTCCCCATAACCAAAAAAACCAAAAATCCACCATTGGCAACAGCCTCAGAGCCACATGTTGATCAGGTGTGCTTTCTTGCTCCTACCAGTATTCTTCTCTGACACTAAATGGATTGAGGAAAATGCTGTCTGTGCTCATCATGATCCTGCAACCAACTGCCCCAGTGCCCTGAATTCCCTTTTGAAGTCTTTTGGATTTCTCTCTGCAACCTCATCACTGACAACCTGCATTTTTTGAAAACTAAATGTCACTGAATTTAACACGTCCATGTGCCATGTTTGAGTTTGATAAAAAGGGGACTTATGAAATAGTTTGTCAGCCAAGTGCTTTCTCAATGGTGTCTGATCATAACATACCTGATTTTGAATATTTAGGGTTCCTTCTTACTGTCCTTCATCAGAACTGCACACAAGTATTTGTGTGTTGAATTTGGAGTCCTTAATCCTATGTAGTGACAAAACTGCGAAAAGGGATGACAGTCTTAACATGGACAGCAAGTGACTTCTTCTAAAGATATAGTAAAACACAGGGGCGAGATGGCAGAACAGTGACTGCTTCAGGCTACCTTCCTTCAGATCTGTCAGCTAACTAATTGCCTGTGAATTTAATCTTGGTTTTGCTTTCAATGTAAATCTTTTAATCTGCACATCATTTCTTTGTTACTCTGTTTGGTTCAAGAAAAGAAGTGATAACTGAATATCTACTGGGAAGAAATGACAAGATGTTAACTTCTAGGAGTTCTGAACTCATTAATAATTAATTTATTATATAGTACCCAGTTAATTTCTGTACTTATTTTTAATGAAACAGGAAAGTTGAAGGGATTTTGCATTTTGTCTAGGTATATTACTTTCAGTTTTAAAGGGAAACTAATCAATTAATAGAGACAATTCTAAATCCATGTGCAATCCAAGTCCTTTGGACCACAGGCTTGGAATATAAGGAGGAAAAAAAAAAAAAAAAGCCTTCCTAATATAATACTTGTAATGATATTTTTAATTATTATTTATGTCCTTTTTTAAAAATAAAGTTGTCAAGCTAACAAGTTTACAAGAAATGGAATATTTTGAAATGCTCTGCAAAAAATAGCTGTACCAGTCAGAATACAATACCTTCCATAAAGAGAAAACAAGGCAATTACATAAGGCATGTAATTCACTGAGTTTAAAAAATGGAATAGCTGCCTATTACTAAGGATGATACAAACTGTAATGGTGAATTGAAGTACACAATAAAAATCCTATAATGACTTTGTCATGTTTTACAGACAACACAGCTGGAATTGAAACCAGGAGAAATGGTTATAGCAGAAGGCAGCAAGAGCTGTACTTTCTTCCAGTAGTAATAGAAGACAGCAGTTACCCTGTCCAGACCAGCACAAACACAATGACTATCCGTGTTTGCAGATGTGATTCTGATGGTACCATCCTGTCCTGCAACGTGGAAGCAATCTTCTTACCAGTAGGCCTCAGCACAGGAGCGCTGATTGCAATCTTGTTGTGTATTGTTATACTTCTAGGTTAGTGCTCATGAAACCATGCAAAATGCATTACTCTGATTATTCACCTGTGAATTAATTTGTGTTGTTATTAGCTCCATCTATTGTTTAAAAAAAGCCATTGAAAATACGTGGCAGTTTATAAGAAGTTTTATGCTTCTATGTTTCTGTAAAAGAATCCCAAGATCGTTAATCTGCTAACACCTACATATCTCTTATTTCATTAAGAGAACCAGCTTTCAGTGGAATCCAAACCGTATTTTTTTCTCTGAAACAGTTTTGTTTAAAAACCTTTTGCCAAAGGTTATCTACTAGTGTAGATAGGTCCTACTGACAGCAGCAGTAAGGACTTAATAAGGGCCTCTATTTAGTTCTTCATGACAACTGGAGCAAATGGAGAACAAAGAAATAAGAGAGGAGAAAATAATTGTAATGTAGACTGCAACTGGCTAGATCCATGTAAAACTTTACAGGAACATTTTAATTTTGGTCAAGCATGGATCCATAAGGTTATTTACAGTATACCCAAAGCAGTCAATATTCATGTGCATCTTATTTATTATACAGGCTTAAGGAACTGATAATGAAATAAAACCTACTTGGTAGCCCACAGGCATAATGTGGGCTGCAGTATGTGGACTGATTTTTACACGTGCTAGCCTACGGCTCTTCTTCATACTGGTGGGCTCGCTAGATTTCATGCTACTCCTTATGTAGGTCTAATGTATTGGCAAAAATAGCTGCAGACACAGAATATAACATATAGATACCTCTTTGCATTTGCATAATACAGTAATTTACCACTTACTACAGGCTCAGGGTAACATAAATAGCTTCTGAATATCAGTGGGTGGAAGTAAAAATTTCTGTAGAAATTTTATGTTGTGAGAAGATGTTATTTCAAATAAGAATGAAAATGGCAAATGGTCATGCTTCCCATGGAATAGGAATTAATAAGCACATGCTATCTGCTAGCCCAAAACAACCCTAAACAAAACCACCCCTTCTGGGCCACTTCCCAGCCTTGCAAACTGACCACTGAGCTTGATGTGTCATGGTTTGAAACAAGACCCTGTGGGGCTGGACAGCTCGCTGTAGGAGAGCAGCTCCTTCCTGCCTAAAACTACCACAACTACTTTTTAAGTTTTAGGGGTTTCCGGGGTAAAAACAGCCAGGGGTGAGCCTCATCATCAAAGAAATCCCATGATGAAAAAAGCTTTAACTTATTTTCACATGAAGAGATAAGTCAATTAGAGCTCTGTCTTACAGCAGGACTCCCAGGATATTTAACATCACTGTTGCAGAGCAAAGTGCCGAGAAGCCCCAGATGCGTAGCTGTAGCAAAGCCTTTCAGGTTGTTACCTCTATGTCCAGTAATCTGGCCAGTGTGAACTTCGCAGCAGAGAGCTTGGTGCTCTTGGCACGGGCATCATTCACAATGACAGAGTTTCTGGTGAAGCAGGAATACCCGAAGTCTGACTTTCCTTCAGATTTGCTAGGTGATCATGGAGGCCTTCACCAGAACTGTGTTTATAATTCCCTAACAGTTTGTTGAAATAAACAGAAATTTTATTTTAAAAAATTCAGAATATTCAGTCAAAAATAATAATGTCAAAGAACTCCTTACCAGATCTGCTGCTGATTGAGGGTCTTGGCGTATACAAAACTACTGAAGATCTTTTAATTCCCACTTTGCACAGAACACTAGATCAAATTACTGGGATTATGTTTGGAAAACAACTTTGGTCCTGTCATAACTCCCTTAATTCCAATCAACCTGGCAGTATTACCCAGAAAAAATAATGTATAAATAATGAGATCTCCAGTGCTGTGTGTAACCTAAGAGAATGTCGTTTATCTCATATGCAGACTTTCTCCTTACGATTCCATTCAGCAATTTAAAGGTTGTGTTTGGATTTCTTGCTGTGAACCTGGCCTGACAGAGAATCATTAAAATTGTAAATGAAGTAATTTTTGTTGAACTCGTTCCTAGACAAAAAACAGTCAACATACCAGAATCAGGAGTTATTTTAGGGCACACATGCCTCACCATGAATTTATAATCATTGCAACTCCTGTATTCATTATTATGCTACTTCAACGCCAGCACTTAGAACACTGCCATTTCTGCCAAAGGCAGTTAGGGAATTAAATATAACTAAAAGGGCAGTTTACTACTGGCAGATTTTGCATTTAATGAAATATATCTCCAAAGACAAACTATTGAAAAAAAAGCCCATAAACTGATTGCCATTGAGTTGCTATTTGGAATAAAACCCATTTGTAACATTTTATATTACACAGAATCAAAAATCTGAGTTGGAAGACACCTCTGAAAATCATGTAGTCCAACCTCCCTGCTTAGAGCAGGGTCAGTTAGAGCAGATTCCCTAGTATCCAGTTTGGTTTTGAATATCTTCAGGGATGGATATGCCACAGCTTCTCTGGGCAACATGATCCAATGCTTGACTGTTCTGACAGTAAAGAAGCTTTTTTCTTATGTTTTAATAGAATTTCCTGTGTTTCAATTTGTGCCCATTGCCTCTTGTTATATCACTGGGCACCACTGAGAAACGCCTGGCTCCATCTTCTTTAATTCCACCCATCAGGTATTTCTACACATTGATAAGATCTCCCTGAGACTTTCCCGGGCTGAACAATCGCAGCTTGCTCAGCCGCTCTTCACATGGCAGATTTTCCAATCTCTTAATCATCTTCATGGCTCTGCACTGGACTTACTCCAGGAACTCCACATCTGTCTTGTATTGAGGAGCCCAGAACTCGACCTAGAACTCCAAGTGTGTCTGACCAGGGTTGAGCAGAGGGGAATGGTCACTTCCCTAGGCAAGGCTCTTCTTCCTAATGCAGTCCCAAATGCTCTTTGCCTTCTTTGCCACAAGGGCACATTGCTGACCCATAATGAACTTGTTGTCTGTCAGGACACTAGGTCCTTCTCCGTCAAGCTGCTTTCCAGACAGTCAGCCAACAGCATCTACAGTATATGGTTATTCTCCTCCATATGTGAGACTGGGCATTTCCCTTTGATGAACTTCATGGGGTTCCTGTTGGCCCGTTAGTCCAGCCTGGTGAGGTCTCTTTGAATGATGGCAAAACCCCTGTTTTCTATCACCTGCAAACTTGCTGAGGGTATACTCAACCTCTTGATCCAGGTCATATTTGGAGATGTTAAACAAAACTGGTCCCCGTATCAACCTCTCCCATGCAGCATTAGTGACTGGCCTCCATCTAGTCTTTGAGCTGTTGATCACAACCCTTACAGCCTGGCAGTTTGGCCAGCTTTGCAATCCATCTCACTGTCTATTTGTCTAGTCCATACTTTCTCAGTTTTTTTGAGAAGGATGCTATGGGAGACAGCATCAAAAAATTTGCTAAAGTTAGGATAAAAACAATGCATTTTTCTCCCTTCACCCACCAGGGACATCATTGTAGAAGGCTTTCAGATGAGTTAAGCACAGTTTCACCTTTATAAATCATAGAATCATAGAATCACAGAATCACAGAATGGTTTGGGTTGGAAAGGACCTTAAAGATCATCCAGTTCCAACCCCCCTGCCATGGGCAGGGACACCCTCCACTAGACCAGATTGCTCAAAGCCTCATCCAGACTGGCCTTGAACACTTCCAGGGATGGGGCATCCACAGCTTCTCTGGGCAACCTGTTCCAGTGCCTCACCACCCCCTCCGTGAAGAACTTCTTCCTGATATCTAATCTAAACCTCCCTGCTAGGGATGTTTAGATTAAAAATCAGGAAATCCATGCTGACTACTCATACCCTTCGTGCTTGATAGGTTTGAAAATGGTTTCCAGAATTATTCGCTGTATCGCTTCCCTCAGGATCAGGGAGAGGCTGACTGCCCTGTAGTTCCCTAGCTCATTCTTCTTTCCTTTCTTGAAAATAGGATTGTCACTTTCTCTGGTCCTCAAAAATTTCTCCCAGTCATCATGTCCATTCCAAAATTAGCACAAGTGTCCTCACAATTGCATCAGTCATATCCCTCATTGCTTATGTATGCATCCCATCAAGTCCCATGTTCTTGTGTGTGTCCAGTTTATTTAGTGTTCCCTAGCCTGGCCCTCTTTCATCAAGGATAAGTCTTTCTGTTCCAGACTTTCCCTCTGGTCTCAGGGACCTGGGATTCCTGAAGGATGACCTTACCAATAAAGGGAGAGGCAAAGAAGCCATTGAGTAGATTGGCCTTTTCTGTGTCTTTTGTCAGAAGGTCCCCTGCTGCACTGAACAGTGAGCACAGGTTTTCCCTACTTCTTTTGCTGCTATCATGCAAGATCTTGTTTCTACTCATGACTCTCACGAGGTTCAACATCAGATGGGCTTTGACTTTCCTAACCGCATCCCTGCATGTTCAGGCAGTAACTGTATATTCCTCCTGTCTCACCTGCTCTTTGTTTTCACCTCTTATATATCTCTTTTTAAAATCCGAGTTTAGTTAGGAGCTCATTATTCATCTATGCAGGCATCCTGCTGCCTTTTCTAGATTTCCTGCTCATTGAGATGAACCACTGTTAGCCTTGGAGGAGGTGATACCTGAAAATCAATCAGATCTCCTGGACCCCTTTTCTGTCCAGAACAATATCACGTGAGTTTTTTCAAAACAGATTCCTGAAGAGGTCAAAGTGTGATGTATAAAAATCTGAAGTAGAATTATTTTTTCTCCAATTCAAATATTAATTTTATTTTTTTTCTCTTTGATACTGTGGGTTTTTTTCTCTGCAGTGTGGAAATTTGGGGATTTTTCTCTATTTTGCTATGGAAGACATTTTCTAAAAAATCCCATCTCTCTGTCTCTCTGCGCTAAAAAGCTGAAGTCCTGTCCAATTCTATTTGTTCACAAAGTAGGCCAGTAGGAAAATTATTTGTTACTTCCTTCAGCAGCACAGCAAGAACTAAGGAGTTAGACTCATACATCAAACAGCAAATGACTTTTCATAGACTAGAGCACTGCTATTTTTGAAAGAATAGTAGGAGCATGTATTTTAAGGAAAAAACGTCCTTTGGATTCGTTGCAACTTTCAAAGGAAGGTACAGTGATATATCATCAGAGTACCACATTATTTCTGTGCATGTCTTAACTTCAGTTTTCTCTCGTTACAGTCATTGTGGTACTGTATGTAGCACTACGGAGGCAGAAGAAAAAGGACACCCTGATGACCTCTAAAGAAGACATCAGAGATAATGTTATCCATTATGATGATGAAGGAGGTGGAGAAGAGGACACCCAGGCTTTTGACATAGGTGCCCTGAGGAATCCCAAAGTGATTGAAGACAACAAAATACGCAGGGACATAAAACCAGATACCTTGCGTTTTCCACGTCAGAGACCATCAGTGGAAGATAACACAGACATAAGAGTTTTCATTAATCAAAGGCTGCAGGAAAATGATGTAGATCCAACTGCACCTCCTTATGACTCCTTGGCAACCTATGCTTATGAAGGAAATGGATCTGTTGCAGAGTCTCTCAGCTCTATAGACTCCCTTACCACAGAGGCAGACCAGGATTATGACTATCTCAGTGACTGGGGACCTCGCTTTAAGATCTTGGCAGACATGTTCGGAGAAGAAGAAAGTTATAACCCTGACAAAGTCACTTAAGTACAACCACAACAATGAAATAGAAAGAAAAGTAAACCAACAACACGTTTAAAAGATAAACCTAAGCTTTATAATAGGACAGGAATCCTTTGACTATAAAAGACAGCAGTTGTTTCCAGCAAGTTACTACATTTATCTTACTGTCAGTTTTGGTTTGATCTACGAAGGAAAGATAAATCCTGTAATATACACAGCTTTTTGTTGTTGTTATTTTGTTACTCTGGAATTACACTGAGACAAGCTCAGGCCTACAAGGTACAGTTTACTGACCTGACATAGAAAGAAGATAGCTTTCTGGCATCACAGTGGAAGAGTGGTAGCTTTTTCGTAATTCCACTAAAGTGCCTATTGAAACTTTTATCATTTAAGTGGTAAAGAGTCTGCTGTGATGGTGTTACAATACTGAATGACAAATTGGACAAGAACTTTAAGACAAGCAGCAATAGCAACATGCTGACTTCTTTTAGAACAAAGATAGAGATCACTTCCTGGAGTATATCTAATGACTAAAGCTAAGGGTGGGGGGAGGCGGGGGTGGAGGGATGGTGTACATTGTGTTTTGGGCTTAAGTTTGTTTTTTTAAAAGAAGAAAAGAGTATGTCATATTTCTTCTTCAAAAATTTCACTGAAAATCTAAGTTTAAAAGGCTGTTGCTCACTCTGAAGATGTAAAGCCCAAATTAGAAAGGAAAAGATCTTAGCATACATCAATGAATATTTAAAATGTTCATGCAAATAATTCATTTTTCCAAAATAATAAAAAGATTAAAGCAGCTATTCCTTTACGTGAAGGAAAATTCCCTTGGCCCCTGCTCTTCTTTTAAAATAAGGCTATTATTAGAACATAAAATGGAGAGATTTTTTAAAGTGTATTATTGTATTTTTAGAACCAAGTAATTTTTTCCCTTATATAAGTATCACTAAAGAAGTATATATAAAAAACTCCACATCGCTCTTTTTTTTTTTTTTGCAATTAGATTTTACTCTGTAGATACTACAGGCATACCTATTGTAGAGATTTACTTTTCAACTGACCATGTGCTGCAGTTCAGCAATTCGTTGTATTTCGCTGTCAGACCCACATCAAACATTTTACAAAGACTTTTGAGGATGGAAGCCTTATTAATTTTGCTCTTGCCAAAATATTCACAAGAATAAAGAGGCGGAATAAAAATATAATCCAGTATGTTTGTCCACACTTTACGTATGTACCCATGCATAAATGTAGCTGTGCATGTAGCAGAAGTACAGACGTGTACAAGGCGTTATGCCATGGGAGATCTCTTGTAAAACTACTTCATCTTTCTTTTGCTGATGGTCTAAAGACACAGACATTTTCTAAGACCCTGGAAGTGCATACATGCTTATATTGCCCTTCTAAAATCCCTGCAGTGCAATCTGCTTGTGCTCTAAACATGATTACTGGCACTGGCAAGGTCAGCCTGAGTCTTTCATACCTCAGAAGTCTTCATTCACCTCAGGATTACAGCTTACTCTTACCGCTGAAGAATTAATGACTCAGATATAGTTAGCTTTCAAGTCTGGTATTAACATACACAAAGTTCCCTTTACTCACCTGGGGAAATGCAAAGGCATTTCAAAGTTGTATAAATTAGTCTCCCAATAAGACTTTAAAAGGTGTATATTTTAAATAAGTTTTGGATCGTTCACTACAATTGGACAGGGCTGCATTATAAGCATGATTGGCATAGCTTCTACCAGCAGAGTGCTGAGGAAGAGACACAGCATATGGTAACAAGAAAAGTTTGTGGGTTTTATCATTATCAGCAAAGCTATCCTACATTCCCTGGAAGACAAACTAAGCCAACAAAAGCTCTCTTCTCACAGGAGTAGGAAGCAGATGGAGTGGTAGGCCCATCTGCCAGCACAATTTCCGTGTTGAAGGTGTTTTTTTTTAATTTTTGCACATCTTGATAGCTTAGCAAAGGTAACTTGATACTGCAAAGTGGGCCTAAAACAGAGCTCTCCTTCAAAAGAAACAAACAAACAAACAAAACCAACCAACAAACAAACAAAACCTACTAGTTACAACACAGGTTTGATTCATACAAAATTCACACTTCTGGAGGAACCCAGCAGTACTTCCTCATGTAGCATATGCATAGCAACTTTTCCTACCCTGCTGCCACAGCTAAAATAAGCATCTGACACTGCTTATCCTGTAGCCAAACTCTACTCTTAGTAACTGTATTAGTCCTTCACATGTATTTCACTAGTAAAGTCAACATAAATGAGAGTGGTGTTTGACTTTTTGACATCACGTAGCTTATTTGCTCCTGGGAAAGTTGTATTTGTAGTGGATACTAGGTGAACGTTATGTCTTAAATAGGTTGGCATTTGCTCTAAGCAGGACAGTCTGTATGGGAGCCGAACTTCCAAAATCGGTAAACAGAAAATGTGGTCTTGAACATGCTGCTACACAAAATCCATATCTGAGAGTGAGTTGTTGTATGTTAAATTAATACCAAATTGATTAGCAAATGCATATTTTTTAAATTTAAGAGGTTTGTAACTGAGATGTTTCTATCACATAATTGATAAATCTCCAGGAAGTTTTGGTTTTGTTTTTTTGCTTTGTTTGTTTGTTTGTTTTTTAAAGGGTATGGAAATGCTAATGCCATTATCTGATGAAATCAGAATCAAAATCTTTTAAGACTTTTTTTAAAGTGATCAAACCATTTTAACTTAGTAGAAGTATATTTTGTACACAGCTCTATATAACTAAGGAAAATAATTTCTTCTCATTTATACATAACCTGAGATCCCAGAAATTTGTATTTAATTCTGTGTTCTCCCACTCTCTTCCTAAAGCATGCTTGTCAGCTTTTTAACACCTTATTTTTTAAAAGGTAATTAGACAAATAGGAAATTTACAAGATCTGAAATATGTCAGTGCATCTTAGCTGACATGAAGTCAATGGGATTAAGGACCCTCAGTGAATTTGTAAATTGTACCAAATAACTAATTTTGGTTTTAAGCACTATATCTTAAAAAAATATCTAAAAACCCTTGCACAATCAAGATGTGCAAGTGGATATCTGTTTTTCCACATAAAAAAAAAAGCCATAAACCTCAAATTCTATCAGAGTGACAGAAGGCTAAGGTAGTGCTTAAAAGGCACAGAAGGGATAGAATTGAGAGAAATACTTTTGTTTAAATTTCCAGACATAAGACACTATTGAACAAACAGCTACCATCATCTTAAATGTCTGAACAGTGCCCCTCCTGCAAATCCTCAGACATTCAGTAAAATGTCTTCTGCACATGAAGAGATTTAGACACTTCAGTGGCACAAACATCCACATTTTAAGTTAAGTAGTTATGAGATAGACTAGTGGTGCTGAAATAAATGTCTAAATGTACAGCACTCGGCTAAGAAGGGAAGTATCTAAGGGAATATAGCTGATAAGCTTACACTGTGGACATACAGAACTGAAGTCAAATTTAGAACAGAACATTTGAAAGAAATTTCAGTGAAGAAGGAAAGAATTCTTCCCTGCCCTCCTAAAAATGCTGAAAATTACACTACTTAGGAAAGTTCGGACAATTTCTCTGTGGGATCAAAACATTAAAGATTGCTAATATTTGGATTTAAGAATACTACCACACAAATCTGAGAATGCTGTTATTTTTGAAATGCAGATTCACAATATTGACAGTCAAAAAACAAGAATTTGGAAAGCAATGACAGCAGATGATGTCTCTTGCAGAAAGATATGTTTGAATATTTATACTTATTTTACAATTTTTCTTTAAATTTTGCTGTTCAAAATCACAGTTACTGAGGATTTACTCTAGGTTATGAAAGCAGGGGTTCATTATGGAGCAAAGAGCAATAAATGACTCAAAAGACTATTGATAATATTCTAGACACTACCTTGAAAATATTCTTGCCTTAAGAATAGCATGTTGATAGTCACATAAACACAACTGATCCTTCACACTAGTAAAAAATGTGGTTCTGCAGATGCTATATTAATTTTAGATTTACCTCCATTATTGTTTCGAAAGAGTTCTTAAGAATGTGTTGCTATGAAATAACAGATCTATTAAAGGAATATGGGAAAAAATATAATCCACTGGGTTACAGGCATTTCATATGGCATTAGTGACTGGATTTTAGTTACTGAGATCTGGGTTTGTAAATTCTTTGCAGTTATTTTATTAGTTTTATTATTATAAACAGATACTGAAATCCCATGTGATTAGAAATATTTTTGGGCTTTACAAACCTTCATGAAAACAAATAATGAAGTAACCCCTTGTAATAATGCTACTGAGGTGACATTTAAGTGTGAATGAAAATCAGTGTTTGTATTACACCCCTTCACAACATTCTCTTAATTGCAAATCTATAATCACCTGATTCCTTGATTCCTTTTCTCTTCTTATTTAAATGAAGAACCAGGTAAGTTATCCAAACATGAGCAACAGTTATGGTTTTGAGCAAAAATATGATACCTTCCTGTTTGGGGTTTTGGGTTTGTTTGTTCTTTGTTTGTTTGTTTGTTTTTAAATATTCTATTCATTTATTTTATAAACTTCCCATATTCAACTTTAGTTTGCAACTGAAATTCCCAAATAATTTTTTTCTATCTTAATTTCATTCCTGTAGTCTGTGTCAAAATACTTCTTAGGGCTCAGGAAGATCTTATCAATGTGTAGATATATCTGATGGATGGAATGAAGAAGGTGAGGCCAGACTTTTAGTGGTGATCAGTTACAAGGCAAGAGACAATAGGCACAAATTGAAATTCAGGAAATTCTATTAAAACGTAAGAAAATAGCTTCTTTACTTTCAGAATGGCCAAGACTCAATCATGCTGCGCAGAGAAGTTGTGGTGTATCCATCCTTGGAGATATTTAAAACTCAACAGGATTTGTCCCTGAGCAAGCTGTTCTAACTCAGCCTTTAGTAAGCAGGGATCTTGAACTAGATGATCTCCACAGGTGTTTTCCAACCTCAGCTATTCTGTGATTTATCAT